GTGCATTTGTTTCTGACTCCTGCAATACAGTCCCTTCTGTGATTTTCTCAAAGTCAGTCTTGAAACAATGTAGGTTCCTTGCCTCTGCTAACCTAGTTGGAAGATTTTTCCATGACCTCACTCTTCTCCTGATTAGAAAACTAATTTCCAGTCTAAGCTTATTCGTGGCCTATTTTTTCATCTTGTGTGGCATTATTCTTTAATTGAATGTTTATTCTTCTCCTCTTTCCCAAGACTTTTCCAGTTATTGTACACAGTAAGTAATCACTTTGACATGGCTGTTCTGCTGCCTGAAGGGCCTGGCCAGTTCAGAGTACCTCTGCTGTCATATGTACGTGAATTGGCATACAGACCTGTGCATAAGTGCTGCTGCTGCTAGCTCTTCTAGCCCCGTGAATTTCTAAGCCTGAGGTTCACGTGTTGAGGAAGTATTTAATAATATAGCTTCCAATTCTCCTAATTAAATAACATCATCAGTTTTTATGTCCATATGATGCTGAATTTCTAAATGGTAGTATGTTATGCTCTTCTGCTGGTAAGAAATGATCCCAGGATTATCATTAATGTTCCAGAAAATCATCTGAGTAAAACTCTTGGGCTGATGCAGAACAAGTGCAAAATAAGCCTGCCTTTGCAGCTTTTATTATTCAACTGATCAGCACTTCAACAAGTGAGAAAAAGCAAGAGAAATGATCAAGAAGTGGCTCTAGATCCTGTTGTCTATCATAGACAGAGGAGGGTAAATGCAGCAGCCTGTGTATGGTGCTTCCCAAAAGCCCTAAATGCTAGATTGTACTATAGAATGTAGAGTCCATTCTATGGCAAAAAAAAAAACCAACAAAAAAACTCCACACCTCCCAGTTCTTGTAGGTAATTAAAATAGAAAGACTATGGCAGCCAGAACCACTGTTGCTGTTAATACGTTCAGAAGTGAACACCTGTGCATTTACAGAGAAACAAAGCATACAAAAGGCAGATGCTCTCTTTGGCCCAGCTGTTTCTCTCATGCACAGCACTCCTCTTTGCTTTTATGGAAGAGAAATAAAAGTCTGCAGCCAGTGATGAGCTAAAGGAGAGCAGTTATCTCTACATCAGGGAAACTGTTTTCAATGAAAAAAGGTTAAGTCTCCATAGTCTACAAGAAAAGAATGATTCTGAAGGACTTTTCTGGTTTGCTCCTTTGCTTCATGCTGTCGGCCTGTAGCAACAACCCCTCTTTCCTGCTCAGCGGACTGAACAGTGACATCCTTACAGTGTAGACTGGGTCTTCCTGTTGAGGTCACCTGCTGGGAGAAGGTGGCCCTCAGAGGGGCATCACACTCCAGCACACAGATTTAAGTATACAAACTTATATTCTGCCTATATGTCCTGAACTTTGCTTTCTGTAAATCTTGCTCAACACTCACAGCCAGTATGGAGAACAAAGAAAGCTGCCTTATCAGTGTTTCCTCTGTGGGGGAAATGGGGGTCTATTCTTGATGTTTTTGCATTTGGGAATGTGTGTCTCAGCTACTTGGGGTGCAAAGCGGCGTCTGCAGTAGGGGCAGGCAGTGTAGTCTGGATTTTCAATGGGAGGCAGCGGAGGCAGGTCAGACACCTTCCCTCCCTTGGACAGCACTTGCTGCACCTGCCGGGCGTGGCGCAGGGTCTGGATGAAAGCCTCATGGTTCTGCCTCCAGTTGTTTCTTCTGGGTGGCTTATTCTGCAGAAGGGAAATGCAGTCAGAGCAACTGGCACTGCTGTCAGCCTCCATACTCAGCCTTGCTCTCAGGGTCCAATTCTAGAGACCTCTCCCTGAGCACTCTCTGTTGATGTAAAACCCCCCAGGGAAGCTGAATCCCACCATGCACCAAGGATGGTTTGATGGAGTTAATGATGGAGACGTCAGTGCTTAGAAAAGAGCTTGACGATGAACAGAGAAGCAGGCAGTAGCACCAAGGAAATCATAGAATGGCTTAGGTTTGAAGGGATCTTAAAGATACTTGAGCTCCAACTGCCATGTCATGTGCAAGGTTGCCAACCACTAGTTTGAGTGAGATGCTACAGCTGTTCTGAAGGAACAGACCTGCATGTTTCCACTGCCCTCAGATTGCTAGTCCATTTTATTACCTGCTTTTTCAGTCAGTTCCCCACAGCCCTCCAGTGTCACAGATCTTTACCACAGCAGATCCAGTCTGCCCTGACAAGCATTCTGACCACAGCAAGGAGCAAGTTCTCTCCAGGAGTACCCCCATGATGCATTACAAAGACAAGTCAGTCAAAAACAACACCCTCTCATCCCCCCGCCCAACCCAACCTATTAGATTTTATATGGAAGGCAAGTGTCTTCCAGAGGCAGTGGCTGGGTTGTGTTCCTCAGCCCTGTGTTCTCATGAGGGTGCTCATGTCTCAGAACTAGATCTCAGGGGGGGAGGGAAGTGAGCAGTGTGTGTAAACTGAGGAAGGCTAAGGGACTGCAAGTACCTGAGGTCTCTCTGAGCTCTTCCACTGCTGAAACTCTTCCAGGTCTGTGCCCCTGGCTCTGGCCTTGCTGGAGTCAAATGTTTTCCTTTTAGAGGCTTGGCTCTTGCTGCAGATATTCATGTGTTTCTTGAGCCTGGTGCAGAGAAACTTGCGGCCACAGAAACTGCACTGTCCAAGCTCCCCCTTTTCTGTGGGGCTGGCAGCCTGCATGTACAGCATCTCTGCAGGCATGCGGTCACCACAGTCTGAGAAAGCAGAGGAAGAAGGGCCATGTTTTAAGGCAAGCTCTGAGCACGAGGCTAAACTCTGCACTGGTATGCGGTCTCGAATTTTGTTGTTGCTGGCCACCAACCGTTCCTTCTTCAGTTTCCCCATAGCCAACTCTTGGGGATGGAGAGTAGTGCCAGTCTTTGGGACAGTGACCTCTGCAGACTGCACCCCACTAAAATCCCCTTCACCCGTACTGATGGTAAGTCTTATGTTTTCCTCTCCAGGGTGCCACATGGCCTTTCGCCTGCGAGTCCTCTCCACTGCTCTGGCTCTTCTCTCCTCTGCCTCCATCAGTTCCTTCTCTCGTTGAATCCTCCTAAGCTCCTCCTTTGTTCTCCTCAGCTTCTCTCTGAGAAGAGCCTCTTTCTTTCGGATTTCCTCTTCCAGGGTCTGTCCATCTGCCTCCAGCCTTAGGATATAAGCCAGATCTCTCCTGTATAGAGAGGAATCTGAATGTTTAGGCTCTGCTGTCCAAGGAGGGAGCACTGCAGCTGGTTGAGGCTTCCCTGGCATATGCCTTCCTTTGCTCTTTGAGCTAGTCCTACTATTTAGAGCCTCCTCCATGTATGGGGAACTTCCGAGCTGTCCTGTATTGACTGCAGGAAGGCTCCCAGTGTTGTGCTGAAAAATTGGTTTCAGAGGACAGGAACGATCCACTCCTTCTTTCCGTTTGGCTACTGATTTAGAGGGCAGAGTCTTAGCCTGGCTGGTAAGAGGCTTGTTTTGCAACCCAGCTGAGCTGGAGCCTCCATGCTGGGAGCTGTGCTTATTGCTTTCTGCAGAAAGAGAATATGAATAGCTTCGGCTCTTTCGGGCACAGGGATTTTTCAGGCTTTCCTCTTTGTCTGATAGGAATTCATGCTGACAACTGCTTTTTAGGTGTTCCAGAGGGGACTGATGTACTGAGATTTCAGAATCATAACTGTCTGTCACTGAGAGCTTAGCAGCTGCCACCACAGAATCCACATATGGAAACAAAGCCAGCTGCAGCTCAGCCATTCAGTACCTGGGAAAGAGCCTGAGGTTAAAAGCAAAATCACTACAGACTACTACATCCAAAACTGGACAGATTTCATAGAATCATAGAATCCTTAGGGTTGAAAGGGACCTTCAAAGGTCATTTAATCCAACTCCCCTGCAATGAACAGGGACATGCACAGATAGATCAGGTTGCCCAGGGCTTGATACAGCCCCATCTTGAAAGTCTCCAGGAATGTGGCATCAACCACATATCTGGGCAACCTGTTCCAGTGACTCACCACCCTCACTGTAAAATATATATATATATATATATATATATATATATATATATTTTATATCCAGCCTAAATCCACCTTCTTTTAGCTTGAAGCCATTTCCCCTTGTTCTGTCACCAGATCCTGCTAAAGAGTCGCTAAAGAGTCTGTCCTCTTCTTTCCTCTCCTTTAGATACTGACAGGCAGCTCTCGGGTCACCTCAGAGCCTTCCCTTCTCCGGGCTGATCAGCCCAGCTCTTTCAGCCTGTAAAATTTACTCCCAACAGCCTACACTTGTAACTTAGATTGAATATCGGCAGAGATTTTCTAACTCCTCCGGGTTCTTTCTGAGCCCTGTCTTGTCAGCATATGCCAGGGAAGCAGCTATGCCCGCAGGGAGCGCTTACCGAGGCTCGTCCCGGCCCGGGCGCCGCCCGTCAGAAGGCGGCCCATTCAGCTCACCACAGCTTTTCCGTGGCTCACTCGGCCCCGTACCCTCGCACGGCGGCCGGCTGCCCGCGCAGAGCCTCCCTAAAGAGGAGCACAGTTTCAAGGTCTCCGAACCGCCGCCCCCGCGGGGAGCGCACGAAACGCGAGGCCCTGTGGTCCTCCCCGCCGTTACCTGCAGAGTCGCCCGCGGCGCTCATCTGCGCTGCGGTTCCGGGAGCGGCCGGGCAGAGCTGAGGGCACGGCCCCGGGCCCGGCCCCACCTGCAGGCCTAGCAGTAGGCGCCGAGCTCCTGCCGCGCCGTGTTGACGGCTGTTGCCTGGAGACGGGCACGCGGGTGCCACTTCCTGCGCCGCTCTAGCCGCTGAGCTGCATCTCTGTGGGTCCTCAGCCGCGCATCGCTTGCGTTCCGCGGAAGAGGCGCTCGAGGGGAGCGGGGACGCTCTGCTGCTTGGAAGACTTTGTCTCTATGGCTGAGTGAACACCGCCAGCCGAAGGGGAGCGGGAGAGAGGCCTCATGTATTATTCATGAAGCGGTTAGGAAAGCCCCGCCTTCGCTGCGGAGCTCGGTCCTCATTGGTCGCAGGGTGGCAGCGAAGGCCCGCCCCCAGCCGCGCTGCGCGTGCGCCGTGGGGTTGGAGGCTGGCCGCTGCGGCTGGTGGAGGTTGCGGTCGCCGTCGCCATGGCTGGGAGCGAGGGCTTGGTGTCCGTGGATTACGAGGTGTCGGGCAGAGTGCAGGGCGTCTTCTTTCGCAAGTACACCCAGGTGCGCTGCGGGGTGGCGGGACGGGGACCCAGCGATTCCTGGGCTGGGCCGGGCCAGCTGATGCGATGTGGGGTTTGTAAGCATCGCGCTGCCCGCTGTCGGTAGCTCCAGCAGCCCGGAGCCATCTCACGTCTGCGTTGTCTCCTCAGAGCGAGGCCAAGCGGCTGGGGCTGGTTGGCTGGGTGCGGAACACGAGCCACGGCACCGTGCAGGGACAGGCCCAGGGCCCGGCCGCCAGGGTGCGGGAGCTGCAGGAGTGGCTGCGGAAGATCGGGAGCCCCCAGTCCCGCATCAGCCGGGCCGAGTTCACCAACGAGAAGGAGATTGCGGCGCTGGAACACTCGGACTTCCAGATCCGCAAGTAACCTCGTGCAGAAAGCAGCCAACCTGGGGCACGGGCTGCCCTCGCCGAACGTCCATCCCCACCTCCCGGCCGCTCAGACAGCTGACACCCGGCTCTAGAGAACTGTATTTCCTTACGTTTCTAACTTATTGGTTTGTTGTACTGTTGTGTAGCACTAAAACACCCGCGTCGCTTTGACAGGTGGAGCGTGGCTCGGTGTGTCTGTACCGATGGGGCTGCCCAGGGGCACAGCCTCCGCTCCCCGAAGGCCTGAGCTGTGGGCGGCAGTACTGAGTGCCGCATGGCGTTGGTGCGACACCGCGCTCGTGCGGAGGAAACTGCAGAATCGGCGCCAGCTGTAAATACTGCTGAAAGTGAGATTGTGGTGACCTACATGTCTCCGAAGCAATTTATTTTGTTCTTTACTCGCGCAGAAGTTTATTTTTATTAGAATAAAGGTACTTGGAGCTTGCTGGAGTTGAGCGTGGCTGTCTGGACGCGGTGGCACCCTGTCGGCGCCGGTCTGCCCGCTCCTTCCCTGTCCGCACGGGAGCGGTAGGAAACTACAGCTCCCATCATGCACCGCCCGCCCGGAGCCGCGGTTCCGTGTCGCGAGCCGCAGCCCAGCCTCCGGCGCGCCGTGCGCATGCGGCCTGTGCTCCCCGCCCGGCTGCCTCTGCGCTGCTCCGCAGCGGGCGCCGCGTGCCGGGCCCAGCGACGGTTGGGCTCGAGCCGCGGCCGTTGAGGGGCCGTCCCGCGCCCCGCCCCGCCCCGCCCCCAACCCTCGAGCCCGGAGGGGCAGTGCCGGAGGCGGGGCGGGGAGCTCGCGCCCTCAGGGCCCGCTGGCTGCCGGGACCGCTGGGGCGAGCCGGCTTTCCTTCAGTGCGCAGCCTCCCCCAGCCCGCCTTCTCGCTTCGTTACTGTAACGGGAGGAGGAAGAGGTAAAAGTGAGGGGACGGCAGCTCGCAGCCCGGGCCTTTGGTGATGCTTATTACCTATTTGCGACGCTAACGGGAGCAGAGGCCCTGTGCTTGCAGGCCGTGTGGCCTCGCTGCTGTCGGGTTTTCCTTGACGCTGCATTTGGGAAGCAGGTGTGCTGCTGGGTGCGCTGACCCGGCTTCTGGCCGTGTGCTTTGGAGGGCCAGCTGATGTGCCCTCAGAGGCTGGGTCTTTAAATACCAGGGGGGGGAAAAAAAAAAATCAAGCCTTCGATAATTTATTCCTTTCTTTTTTTTTCAATTTTTTTCCCCTCCTGTGCAGCTGTTACCAAGAACACGGAGCCGTGATCTTCCTGCAGTTTGCCGAGTTTCTCTCCTACCTGCTTTTGCCATGATCAAGCACTTGGCAGAGGACGTGCAAGCCAGGCTGCGCTCTGGAGTGGCGGTCACCTCGCTGGGGCAGTGTGTTGAGGAGCTTGTCTTCAACAGCATTGATGCCAAAGCAACATGTGTAGCTGTTAGGGTGGATTTGGAAGCTTTTAAGATCCAGGTGGTCGATAATGGTTCCGGCATGGGGAGAGAGGACTTAAGTAAAATGGGAAAGCGGTACTTCACTAGTAAGTGCAGCTCAGTGGCAGACTTAGAGAAGCTGACATTCTACGGTTTTAGAGGGGAGGCTCTGGCAAGCATAGCAAACATGGCCAGTGTTGTGGAAGTTTCATCTAAGAGCAGCAAGACAGCAAAAACTTTTGTGAAACTGTTTCACAATGGGCATGCACTAGAAGTCTGTGAAGCTGAATTGAGCAGGCCAAGTGGTGGAACGACAGTGACCGTGTGTAATCTGTTCCATCAGTTACCAGTGAGGAGGAGATGCATGGATCCTGTGCTGGAATTTGAGAGGGTGAGGCAGAAAGTAGAGGCTATATCGTTGATGCACCCCTCTATTTCACTTTCTTTAAGAAATGATATTTCTTGCTCTATGGTGCTTCAGCTCCCTAAGACAAGAAATGTTTACTCTCGTTTTTGTCAAATATATGGACTGGGCAGATCTCAGAAGTTAAGAGAAATAAAGCATAAGTCTGGGGGATTTGAGATAAGTGGTTACATCAGTACTGAAGGACATTACAATAAGAATATGCAATTCTTGTATGTCAATAGGAGGCTTGTTTTAAAGACAAGACTACATAAACTGATTGACTTTTTATTAAGAAAAGAAAGTGTCATTTGTAAGGCAAGAAGTGTCCCTGTGAGCAGACAGGGTTCCTCAAGTCCTGGTCGCCTTCGTTGTGGCCCAGAGTTGTACGGGATCTTTGTTCTCAATGTGACCTGTGCGTACAGTGACTACGACATGTCCCTGGAACCTGCAAAAACTCTGATTGAGTTCCAGAACTGGGATGTTCTTCTAGCTTGTGTAGAGGAAGGAGTGAAAACGTTTCTGAAACGAGAACGTTTATTTGTTGAACCTTGTTGTGAGGACATCAAGGAGTTTAATGAGGATAATAATTTTTGTTTGCATAATGCTTCAGCTATGAAATCCACACTCCCTGAGGATAAAAGCATCCAAGAAAACTTTAAGAAAGCATGTGATGAAATTATAGATTCCTATGAAGTGTGTAAATTGCAATCAAAAGATGTCAAAAGAAAATTCATGGTGGGAAAAAAGTCTTCAAATCCTACAGAGTCAAATAAAAATACACAGGAAACTGAAATTTTCTCAAATCAGAAGGTTGTTGAACTCTCTGGTCAGTGTAGAAACAAAAAAGCAGAGATTCCACTGTCCAAGAAAGATGACACCACTTCTAATTTCATTATATCTGATATGTTGGAACAGGAGCCAAAAGACACAATCAGTTCCCAAAAACTGTGTGATACTCATCTGAAAACTTCAGAAAATCTCCATTCCTCTTTCACCGAAGGAGCCCGATCAGAAATAATGAAAGAAGACAGTTGTGATGACTTGCGGCGTTGTGCTGAGAATTGTGCAAAAGATGTAGGAAACCAGCAAGACAAAGTTGTGCAGAAAAGCAGTACGGTTTGTACCTCAAATAATGGTTTTACTCAGTGGCCATCTGAGAGAGAAGACCCTACTGAAACAGCAGGGGAATCTGAAACTGTCTATGGAAGTTCATTGATAAGACTACATAATGTAAGAGAAGGAGGCAGGGAAACAACTGAAGTGATAGATAATGCTGGAAGAGGGACTGTTAGTTCAATACCAGAAAAAGTGCATTCTCACTTAGGCCTCAAAGCATGTGTCATGCAAAATGAGCCACCCCGTAAACAAACAGAAACAAATCTTGCATTAAACATGCACTGTAGAACTTGCCCTGCCAGGCACAAAGTGAGTTTGTCGATTCAGTCTTTAAATGCTAAGTATATTTCCAGTAATGTGAATAAAGAATATATACCTCTCTGCAGCAGAGAAGTAGGCACAGCTGATGGAAATGAGTGTTCAGAGAATAGAAGTTTGCCAAGTCAAGCACGTGATGGGAGAGACATGTCCACTGCCACCAGTAAAAGACATTATGAAGCATCAAATGTGTCAGACTTGCCGCTGGCAACATCTTCAGGTATTCCTCACAGTAAAGCTATAAAAAGCCCTAGAAGACAAATAGCTGAGCCAAGATCACAGCCTTGCAAGAAGCTGAGCCTATCTACGCAGCTGGGTTCATTAGAAAAGTTCAGGAGATATTATGGGCGTGTCAAGTGTACACCATTACCAGAGCAGAGTGAATTTTGTCTCCCAGTTTTTAATGCACAAGCTAATTGTGACTTTTCAAGGAGTCAGAATAACAGCCATGGTCACTTGGGCAATTGTGGGACTCCAACCTTGGATTCTAATAATAATGGCCATGTTTTGAGATCTTTGGATGAAGTTTTACTCTGCCATGGAAAAACTTCACTGGACAGACAAGCCATTTGTCGCAGTCCTTTGACGTTGTCTGATTACTCAGAGGTTAGTAAAAAAACCACGAGTAGTCAAAGATCTCCAGGATCCCTATCATCCAAGCTGTGCCAAATGAAAACTGATCACCGAGCAGTAAAACAGCTGGGTGAGCAACTCCAAACAGATTCAAGTAGAAAAGATAACCACTCTTTTGATCCTGAGTCTTCAAATAATGATTTTTTGTATAACCCTTGTCAAAGGTATGAATCTTCAGTGGAAGAAATGAGGGAAGGTTGCAGCATTTCTAAGGGGGATACTTGCCCACAATCAGATGATTTGAGAGCAGAGTCCATGAAATGTACTGTTAGCCTATCACCACTCAGCAGCACTGAAGGAGAGTACACAGTCTCTGCAAACAGCGTTTTACCATTTCCAGCAAAAAAAGATGGCATTGATATCATCTGTGAAGATGAAAATATGTTAGATGAATCATCAAAACAAAATGTGAAAGATACTGAGGTTCACTGCATGACCTTCCCAAGTAACTTGGCATTTTCTGGAGATAATGCAAGTACAGGTGATCCCAAAGATGATTTGCGTAGTTCAGACTGGCTGCAAGATTTTGATGCTTTATTGGGTAAGACAGTCTACATCAATAAAGCAACGGGATTGAGCACCTACAACACTCCTCCTGAAGAGTTTCCAGCTGCCTGCATTAAAGATTTAACAACAATGGCTGTGAATGTTGTCTCAGAGAATGGTAAGATGATTCGTTGTTGTCATAAGAATGGGATGAGGAAAGCAGTATTTGTTCTGCTAGGTGCATAGAATATTTTGGTAGGTACACCTGACACTCGTACTGAAAAATCCATGGCCTTACTCATAGCAGCTGTTAGGAAAACAAAATGTGTTGGTGACCGTGGAGATAAAACAAACTTGTTAACGTTAAGATGTTAAAAGAAATTTTATATTTAAATAAATAGTGAAAAGAAATAATAATAAAATAGTGAAAAGAAATGTCAGCACTTAGTTTTCACTAAGCATCATTACATGTACTGTAATCACTGTTGTAAATAATTGCTGTCATATACAAAAGCTGCTCTGAAACTAATTCCTCCTATTTTATTATGCTGGCCCATAACTAACATCAGAGTCAAATGTTGATGGTATGACAGAAGAGGTTGAACCTTTCACCAATGTTCCATTACATGTTGTTGCTGTGCAACAGATGGAAGCAAAGGGGCAGTCTGATAAAATGGTTTCTGACATGGGAGTGCATATGAAGCAAAGGGGAGGAACTGAATTCCTCCATGTGGAAAAAGTTGCACCCACTGAAATTCACTGACTCTTGCTGAACGTTTATAGAGACCAAACAGTGGTTGTGAGCACAGTGAAATGGTGGGTGGTGCCTTTCAGCAGTGGTAACAGCAATAGTGTGTCACCTGCACTGGTGCAGATTTTTTTACGAGTATAGCATGCAGGCTCTTGTTCATTACTGGCAAAAATGCATAGCTAATGGAGGTGACTATATTGAAAAATAGTGTTTTGTAGTTGACTTTGAATTTCAAAGCCACTTATTTATTAAGAATAGCATATTGAACACAAGTTTAGGGAAATTACACTGGTTGATAGCAGATGGAAAGACATAGGAA